TCAGCCTCCCAAAGTGCTGGAATTATAGGCGTAAGCCACCGCGCCCGGCCTTAATTAACTTTTTTAAAGCAGGGTCTTGCTCTGTTGCCCAGGCTGGAGTACAGTGGCTCAATCATGGCTCACTGCAGCCTCCAACTCCTGGGCTCAAGTGATCCTCTCTCCTCAGCCTTTCCAGTAGCTGGGGCTACAGGTGTGCACAACCACATCCAGCTAATTTTTTATTTTTATTTTTTGTAGAGATGGGGTCTTGCTATGTTTGCCCAGGCTGGTCTCGAATGCCTGGCCTCAAGTGATCCTCCCGTCTTAGCGTCTCCAGTTCCAGAATCTGGGATTACAGGCATGCACCAACATACCTGTCTCATTTAAATTTTTTTTTTTTTTTTTGCTACAGAGTTTTGCTTTTGTCACTAGGCTGGAGTGCAGTGGCACCATCTCAGCTCACTGCAACCTTCGCCTCCCACGTTCAAGTGATTCTCCTGCCTCAGCCTTCCAAGTAGCTGGGATTACAGGCCCCCACCACCACACCCAGCTAATTTTTGTATTTTTAGTAGAGATGGGGTTTCACCATGTTGGCTAGGCTGGTCTTGAACTCCTGACTTTAGGTGATCCGCCTGCCTCAGCCTCCCAAAGTGCTGGGATTACAGGCGTGAGCCACTGAGCATGGCCTTTAAACATTTTTTTTTTGTAGAGACGGGGGTCTCGCTATGTTCCCCAGGCTGGTCTTGAGCTTCTGACCTCAAGCGATCCTCCTGCCTTAGCTTCCCAGAGCTCTGGGATTACAGGCTGGTGCCACAGCGCCCGGCCAAGACTCTGCCCCCTGCTTTCCACCTGTTCTCACCCCACCTCCTCCTGGTCCTCCTGTGGAGCTGGGTGCCCCACTACCGGGCTGAGTCCGCTCACCAGGATTTGCCTATCTTAGATAGGATTTTCCCTCCAACTTCTCAGAAACGGCCCTTCTGCTCTTCTTTCCCCTCTCTCCGGTACCTGCATTTTTCCTTCCACCGAAACTGATGACCAGCTCAAAGTCGGTGACCAGGTAGAGCCGTTGGCCCCGCAGGGTGACCCGCAGGTGCTCATTCGGCCTGTAGGGGACGGCCATCTTCTGGTTGTTGACCTAAAGAGGGAAGACAGGAGCAACAGGGAGCGCTGAATCCTCCTGACCTGCTGCCGTTTCCTGGCTGGGCTTTGCTTTTCCGGGTCATCTCCATACGTCTCCGTGCAGACAGTGGAATAAGATACCCCAGTGGGCTTTGCTATTCATGTGGCGGACGTTTCTGTGAGGTCCGCCCCCTTCCCAGCCCAAGTCCTTCCTTGCAAAAAATTGGTGCAGTGAGGCTGGGCGTGGTGGCTCACGCCTATAATCCCAGCACTTCGGGAGGCCAAGGTGGGCAGATCACTTGAGGTCAGGAGTTCCAGGCCAGCCTGGCCAACATGGAGAAGCTGCATCTCTACTAAAAATACAAAAATTAACCGGACATGGTGACGCACACCTGTAATGCCAGCATTTTGAGAGGCTGAGGCAGGCGGATCACTTGAGGTCAGGAGTTCCAGACCAGCTTGGCCAACATGGGGAAACCGTGTCTCTACTAAAAATACAAAAACCCATCTTGCTGGGTGTGGTGGTACATGCCTATAGTCCCAGATACTAGGGAGGTTGAGGCAAGAAAATCACTTGAACCTTGGAGGTGAGGTTGCAGTGAGCTGAGATGGTGCCACTGCACTCCAGCCTGGGCGACAGAGCGAGACTCTGTCTCAAAAAATAAAAATACATTGGTGTAGTGGATGCCATTGGTTCTTCAGCCCAGGATTGACCTTCACACACCTCATGTTCTGTCCTCCTCCTCCTCTCTTCCTCTTGTGTCTTGCCAGCCTCTGCTGCCTCCCCACACGACAAGAGCTTGTTGCTGAATTTGTTTTTGGTTTTGAGACAGTTTCTCTCTGTCACCCAGGCTAAAGTGCAGTGGCAAGATCTTGGCTCACTGCAGCCTCAAACTCCTGGGCTCAAGAGATCCTCCAGCCTCAGCCTGTCCAATAGCTGGAACTACAGGTGTGCGCCCCCATACCCAGCTCATTTTAAATTTTTTGCAGAGATGTGGGGTCTTGCTATGTTGCCCAGGCTGGTCTTGAACTCCTGGGCTCAAGTGATCCTCCTGTCTTAGCCTCCTGAGTAGCCGAGATTACAGGTGTGAACTACTGCATCCTGCTGACCCTGATTTTACAACCAGCCCAACCGTCACAAACGTCCCAGGGAACAGGGATCTCTGACTTTTCTACTCCAGGTGGCTTACCTGGTCCACCTGCCTCCCCACACCCACCAGGCCCTGGCCCAGCTCTTACCACAAGCTCCAGACCAGCTTGGAGCTGCACTTTATAGCCATAGACAGTGGTAATCACTTCTTGCAAGAAGGTGGAGCTCCTGGGCGGATCCATCTTGTTGCGTCCCTCCACAAGGAGGGGCTCCACCCCCTCAGGCAGTACATCCACAGTCTTGATCAGAACGTAGGTCATGCGGCCCCGGAAGCGGTAGCTGAAGCCGTCAAATGTGAGGTAATGGGGGTCCCCGTAGACTGAGCATTGTTCAGACTCTGCGAAGAAGTCAAACAGTGAGAAGGGGCCGGGCGCAGTGACTCATGCCTGTAATCCCAGAACTTTGGGAGGCCAAGGCGGGTGCATGACCTGAGGTCAGGAGTTTGAGACCCGCCTGGCCAACATGGCAAAACCCTGTCTCTACTGAAAATACGAAAATTAGCCGGGTATGGTGGGTGCGTGCCTGTAATCCCAGCTACTTGGTAGTTCTCTACTGGGCAAGAGAATTGCTTGAACCTGGGAGGCGGAGGTTGCAGTGAGCGCCGAGATCACGCTACTGCACTCCAGTCTGGGTGACAGAGTGAGACACCATCTCAAAAAAAGAACAAAAAACAAAACAAAAGACTGAGAAGGGACCCTGCCCAGGTGTAACGGTCCCCAGAGTCCCTCCCCTACGGTGACATCCCCTGTGGCCACCCTCTTAGGCTCAGGCTCCCTGGATCCTTTCTTTTCTCTTTTTTTCTTCTTTTTCTTTTTTTTCCAGACAGGATCTTATTCTGTCACCCAGACTGGAGTGCAAGTGGTAGAATCATAGCTCACTGCAACCTCCAACTCCTGGTCTCAAGCGATCCTCTTGCCTTAGCCTCCAGAGTAGCTGGGACTTCAGGTGCGTACCACTACCCTCAGCTAATTTTTTTCTTTTTTTAGAAATAGGGGCCACACTACATTGCCCAGGCTGGTCTCGAACTCCTGGCCTCAAGAAATCCTCCCACCTTAGCCTCCCAAAGTCTAAAGTACTGAGATTACAGGCATAAGCCACCAGGCCTGATACCTGGACTTTTTTTTTTCCCCAATACCTGCTGACATTCAATTAAAGGCCTTTTTATTATTATTACTATTTTATTTTTTTGAGACAAGGTCTCATTCTGTGTCCCAGGCTGGAGTGCAGTGGTGCAGTCATAGCTCACTGCAGCCTCAAACTCCTAAGCTTAAGCAATTCTCCTGCCTCGGCCTCCTGAGTAGCTGGGACTGCAGGCACAAGCCACTACACCTAATTTTTAAAAATTTTAAAATTTTTTGTAGGGACAGGGTCTTCCTATGTTGGCCAGGCTGGTGTTAAACTCCTGGGCTGAAGTGACTCTTCCACCTCAGCCTCCCAAGTACTGGGATTACAGGTGTGAACCACCATGCCCAGCCTCCCTGGATCCTTGATCTTCAACTTCCTCTCTCTCCTGGCCTGATTAAAAACCTTAGAGGGGCCGGGCACAGTGGCTCATGCCTGTAATCTCAACACTTGAGGAGGCTGAGGCAGGAGGAACACTTGAGCCCATGAGTTCAGGCCCATCTTGGGCAACATAGCAAGACCCCATCTCTAGGGAAAAAAAATAGCAAAATTGGCTGAGTGTGGTGGTCCATGCCTGTAGTCCCAGCTACTTGGGAGGCTGAGGTGTGAGGATCACTTGATTCCAGGCATTTGAGGTTGCAGCGAGCTATATCATGGTGCCAGTGCACTCCAGCCTGGGCAACAGAGCAAGACTCTGTCTCAAAAAACAAACAAGCAAGCAAACAAAAACCTTGGAGGATCGCCTTGGCCAGTCCCCTCTTTCTGCCCTACAGGTGGAGGGTTCCAGAGAGGATCAGGACCTGGCACATGGCCACAGAGTTGGCAAGAGCCAGACTGGAGGCCAGGCCTCCTGATCCAGTCGCCTGCTCCAACCCCTGACTGTGCTGGGGTTCAGGCTAAGCCCCTTCCCACCCTGCCTCTTCCTCTACCTCAGCCCTGGCCCCAACTGCTCCCCTCTCCAACCTCCCCGGTCGCTCCCCTTACTGTCCGAGACACAATTGCTGTTGCTGTTGTCGGAACTGAGCTGGCAATGGGACCCAGAGGGGCATCGGAAGTCCCCGCACTGAATGGCTCCTCCTGTGCAGACACACTTCTCCGTGCAACCACGGGAGACCCAGCTCTTGCCCAGCTGTAGAAGTTACAGGAAGAGAAAGAGAGTGAGGAGGGGGCTGGGCGCAGGGGCTCACGCCTGTAATCTCAGCACTTTGGGAGGCCGAGACGGCGGATCACCTGAGGTCAGGAGTTTGTGGCCAGCCTGGCCAACCTGGTGAAACCCCGTCTCTACTAAAAACACAAAAACTAGCCAGGCGTGGTGGCCCGCGCGTGTAATCCCAGCTACTCGAGAGGCTGAGGCAGGAGAATTGCTTGAACCCAGGAGGCAGAGGTTGCAGTGAGCCAAGATCATGCCACTGCACTCCAGCCTGGCAACAGAGTGAGACACTGTCTCAAAAAAAAAAAAAAGAGTGAAGAGAGAAGGGCCAGTTCTCCTTCCTCTTGCCCCAGCAGCCTAGCCCACCATCTAAATGGTTTAATTAATGCTGGCCAGAGGCAGCCACAGTGTCATGTGAACATCCAAAAGACAACTGTGCGGGCCAAGTGTAGTGGCTCACGCCTGTAATCTTAGCACTTTGGGAGGCCAAGGCGGGCAGATCACTTGAAGTCAGGAATTCAAGACCAGCCTGGCCAACATGGCGAAACACCATCTCTACTAAAAATACAAAAAGTTGCAGGGCATGGTGGCGCTTGCCTGTAATCCCAGCTACACAGGAGACTGAGGCAGGAGAATCACTTGAACCCAGGAGGCGGAGGTTGCAGTGAGCAGAGATCATGCCACTGCACTCCAGCCTGCTGGATAATAGAGGGAGACTCCACCTCAAAAAAAAAAAAAAAAAAAAAAAAAAAAAAGAAAAGAAAAGAAAAAGGCACTGTGTTTGTGCTTGGTGTCTTACATAATGTTGTGCAGGAGGTATTACTGAACCCATTTTACAGATGAGGAAACGGAGATAACAGAGGTCATCTGACGCATCAGTGGCACTATCAGGATTCAACCCAACATCAGCTTGAAATGAGCCCATGGTCTTTCCACTATACCATGCCACATGCTCCTTGTTTGGATTCCTCAAATCCAAAACCTAAATCATGTGCCATCAGCCCAGACCTGGCTAGAGATCAATGTGCCACTTACACCAGCCTTCACACCCCTGGGCCAGCTGTAAAGTCATGGGTATCCCAGGCAGAGAGAGACGGAGAAAAGGAGAAAGCACAACCCTCAAGCTGTGTTGCCTCCAGTCCCATTTCCCATGCCCACTCACAGGGATGGAGCCACCATGGGCATCCTTGCAGCCGCACTGACTTCTGGGGACACACTTGTCCTCACTCAGCACATAGCCGGGCTGACAAATGCAGCCCTCAGCACAGGCAGAGGGGACTTTGGCGCCCTCACACCGGCCATCCAGGTCCCAGCAGGAGGGTGAGCAGGAGGGAAGGCAGTTGGTGTAGCTGCTGTAGGCAGGGCATTCCAGAGCTGTGGGTGAAGGAGACAGTGGATCAGTGGAGAGGGTCACAGGGGAGCCAGGGTGGGCAGGGATTGTAGGAACCAGGCTACGGGTGGATGACCAACAAGGCTTGGGGAGCTTTTTTTTTGTTCTTTTGTTATTCATTCAGAAAACATTTACTAAGTATGGGTTGTGTGCCAGGCTTTGGGGGAAAGAAAGGAACAAGCAGCTGGGCACCGTGGCTCACACCTGTAATCCCAGCACTTTGGGAGGCCGAGGTGGGTGGATCATGAGGTCAGGAGATCGGGACCACCCTGGCCAACATGGTGAAACCCCGTCTCTACTAAAAATACAACAATTAACCGGGCATGTGGCAGGTGCCTGTAGTCCCAGCTACTCAGGAGGCTGAGGCAGGAGAATCGCTTGAACCCAGGAGACAGAGGTTGCACTGAGCCAAGATCACACTACTGCACTCCAGCCTGGGCAACAGAGCAAGACTGTCTCAAAAAAAAAAAAAAAAGGAACAAGAATGACTCTCCCAAGTCAGCATGAAGGACCGTGGTCAAACAGTAACTGCAACATGACCTTGATGTGCATGATCAGTAGGTGTGTTGACAGGCAAGAGTATACAAGGCATGATGGAGGCACAGAGAAGGGAGGTGTTAATTCTGTTGGGGGAGTTAAAGAAAGGCCCTTAAGCAAAAGTAGTGTGAACAAATGGAAATGCATACCATGTTCATGGATAGGAAGGTTCAGCAACATGGTGATGTTAGTTCTGCATCAGTGAATGTACACATTTAATGTGATCTCAATAAAATATGCCAAAAATATTTTTTGTGGGGGGGGCGGGGTGTGGGGACAGAGTCTCTCTCTGACACCCAGGAGTGATCTAGGCTCATTACAGCCTCTGCCTCCCCAGTTCCAGAGATTCTCCTACTTCAGCCTCCCGGGTAGCTGGGATTACAGGTATGCACTACCACGCCAGGCTGATTTTTCTATTTTTAGTAGAGATGGGGTTTCACCATGTTGACCAGATTGGTCTCAAACTCCTGACCTCAGGTGATCCTCCCACGCTGGCCTCCCAAAGTGCTAGGATTACAGGCGTGAGCTACCACACCCAGCCACCAAAAGTATTTTATATGTGTGTGTGCTTTTTCTTTTTGAGACAGAGTCTCGCTGAGTTGCCCAGGCTGGAGTGCAGTGGCATGATCTTGGCTCACTGCAAGCTCCGCCTCCTGTGTTCACGCCATTCTCCTGCCTCAGCCTCCCAAGTAGCTGGGACTACAGGCGCTTACCACTACACCCAGCTAATTTTTTTGCATTTTCAGTAGATACAGGGTTTCACCATGTTAGCCAGGATGGTTTTGATCTCCTGACCTCGTGATCTGCCCATCTCGGCCTCCCAAAGTGCTGGGATTACAGGCGTGAGCCACCACACCCGGCCCAAACATGTGTGCTTTTAATAGGACAAGATGATTTCAAAGTTGAGCTGAAGACATAAGCAAACCAGAAAAGCCAGGAAATCCCTAAAAAAAAAAAAAGAGCCATCAGTAGTAAATGTCCCTCCATAAGTCAACGTTTATTTTATTTTATTTTTATTTATTTATTTATTTTTTTGAGACAGAGTTTTGCTCTTTTCACCCTGGCTGGAGTGCAATGGCACAATCTCGGCTCACTGCAACTTCCACCTCCTGGGTTCAAGCAATTCTCCTGCCTCAGCCTCCTGAGTTGCTGGAATTACAGGCACATACCACCACACTCAGCTAATTTTTGT